AAAAATGTAACCGAACATCAGACCCCACTTCTGGTGGTGTGGTATGAAGAAGGATATTGCGGAGTTCGTCAATAGATGCTTGGATTGCCAACAAGTCAAGACACTCAGACAGAGACCAGCAGGATTACTACAGCTTCTCAATATACCAGAATGGAAGTGGGAGAATATTGCCATGGATTTCATAGTGGGCCTACCTAAGACGTTGAAGGGTTACACGGTCATATGGGTGATCATGGACAGATTGACAAAGTCAACGCATTTCCTCCCCGGCAAGACCACCTACAGTGGACAATTGGGCACATCTGTACATGAAGGAAATTGTCAGATTATATGGGGTTCCCGTGTCGATTGTATCAGACCAAGACCCACGTTTTACTTCAGCATTTTGACATGGACTCCAGAAAGCGTTGGGCACTTTACTGGACTTCAACACAGCATTTCACCCACAGACCGATGGACAAACGGAATGCTTAAACTAAATTTAGGAGGACATGTTGCGGACCTATGTACTTGACTTCACCATGAGTTGGGATTCAAAGTTGCACCTTATAAAATTCGCTTATAATAAAAGCTATCAGGCGAGAATTGGCATGGCACCGTATGAGGCGTTGTATGGAAAGCAGTGTAGGATGTTAGATAAAAGCTATGGTTTTATTCACACGTTTCTTTAAAATTCGTTAGTTATTTTTTACTTTTGAATATATGAATTAACGCTCTGTGTTTAATGGAAGAGCGTATGTTTTGCTAGCCATTTTGGCCAACTTTGGGCGCGGGGTTTGTGCCCACTACTACTGATAAATTTAGGATAGGTTTGCTATTTAAATATGTGAAATTGAATCAAATAACGACAATCGGGTCTTCAGCAAATATTTCTCTCTCTTTTTCTTTTCCGTTATTTTTTTTTCTCTTTAAAGAAGTTTTCCTTCGGCCGGTTTTTACTCCGTCGACGTTTTTCTCTCAATTTTCAGAAGTCAACAAGTGGTATCAGAGCTTAGTTTAATCCACCGATGGCATAACATTGCGGAGGAGCCAACTTTATCAACAGTCAGGTTGAATAGCTCGAGTGGTTAGAGTGTTGATCTAACAACACACAAGTCTCACGTTCATGTAGAAGAAAATGCAACTCGTGAAGATGAACCTTGAGTTGTCAATAAGGAGGGTCCTCTACTCCTCACTGAGGAGGAATGACTTGCACGCCTAAAGTCGTGACAACAACGGCGAAAGCAACGGGCTCGCGGGGTGCACGCGGGAGACCGATGGCAAGCGACATGTGTACCTAAACTGATCCTGCAAGCGAAAAGTAAGGCAGAAGAACGTGGCAGCGGCTTAGGAAGAAAAGTGAAAAAGATCCGCTACTTACTTTCCGCTCTGAAAAGCTCAGGGTATTATTTGCTCATCATTTCCTCTTCTCGTTCCCAAGTAGCTTCTTCCAACTGGTCCTGTAGAATAGTTTAGATCAAAGTCGAATTTTAGCAATAGTAGCCCTTATAGCTCAGTCGTAGAGCGTCAATCTTGTAAACTGAAGGTTTGTAGTTCAATCCTGCATGAGGGCATTGCAAATTTCACGTGTTTCGTCGATTATCCTTTATTATTTTTTATACTCACCATATTTCTACATTTCACGAATCTGGATACCTTGACAAGGTCTAATGGTAATATGATCAGTGTTGAGATGGACCGGTATTTTATTGGTCGTACGAGTTCGGAAAGTATAAAAGACGAGATTGTGAAAACATGTATCTATGGCCCCTTTATATATATAGCATTTTTTAAGGTAAAAAATTCTAATTTTACGCTCGTTTTCTATTGATAATAAAAGCAAGTACTCGAGATTCTCTTTCATTTCTCTAATGGTAATATGATCAGTGTTGAGATGGACCGGTATTTTATTGGTCGTACGAGTTCGGAAAGTATAAAAAACGAGATTGTGAAAACATGTATCTATGGCCCCTTTATATATATAGCGTTTTTTAAGGTAAAAATTTCTAATTTTACGCTCGTTTTCTATTGATAATAAAAGCAAGTACTCGAGATTCTCTTTCATTTCTCTATCCACAATTTGCACTGGTTCTTCCTCATAGTTCAAACCCTTATCCAACCATAGAGCTTTGAAATCTATCACATGTGATGGGTCAAATAGGTATAGTCGCAACATCGATACATGGAACAAATTGTGGACTCCTGAGAGTACAGGTGGTAGGGTCTATCACATATGATGGGTCAGATAGGTATAGTCGCAACATCGATACATGGAACAAATTGTGGACTCTTGAGAGTATAGGTGGTAGGCCAACCGGTGAGCTACTTGTCCCACTCGCTCCAAAATCTCAAATGGTCCAATGAAGCGTGGGCTTAACTTCCCTTTGCGCCCGAACCTAAGAACGCCTTTCATGGGAGACACCTTAAGGAATACTTTGTCTCCCACCTCAAACTCCAAATCTCTTCGTCTCACATCTGCATAACTCTTTTGCCTGCTTTGGGCCGTATGCATTCTAGTCCTTAATTTCTGGATAGCCTCATTAGTTGCTTGCACTAAGTCGGGGCCCAACAACCTGCGTTCTCCTACTTCATCCCAACACACTGGGGATCGACACTTCTTCCTGTATAAGGCCTCAAAATGTGTCATACCCAACGTCGCTTGATAATTGTTGTTATAAGCGAACTCTATGAGATGCAAGTGTGTATCCTAGCTACCGGCAAAGTCCAACATATAGGCTCGTAACATGTCCTCCAGAATCTGGTTTAAACGTTCAGTTTGAACATCCGTCTGTGCATGGAATGCTATACTAAACTCTAGCCGTGTACCCAACGCTTTCTGAAGGCTTTTCCAAAACTTTGATGTGAAACGGGGATCCCTATCTGACACAATGGATACCGGTACCCCATGCAATCTTGTTACTTCCTTCAAGTACAACTGAGCCCATTTATCCACGAAATAAGTGGAATTCCCTAGGAGGAAGTGAGCTGACTTTGTGAGCCTATCAACCACAACCCATATAACTGTGTAGCCTCTGGCCGTCCTCGATAATCCCACGATAAAGTCCATGGCGATGTTCTCCCACTTCCATTCAAGTACACTAAGTGGTTGTAATAGCCCTGCCGGCTTCTGTCTTCGGCCTTTGACTTGTTGACAAACCAGACAGTTGCTCAGGAACTCGGCCACATCACGTTTCATATTCCGCCACCAATAATGTCGTTTCAAATCTTGATACATCTTGGTATTGCCAGGATGTAGGGCGAATGGTGAGTGGTGAGCCTCGGTTAGGATTTCTACCTTCGGTTCTTCTTCATTTGGCACACACAACTGCCCATGGTACAATTGCCCCCCATCGGTTTTCAATGAAAACTCCTCTATCTAGTTGACATTTATCAAGCGTCTTTTTCCAACCAAATCTGGATCACCATGTTGTTTATCAATAAGACGTTACCTCAAGGTCGGTTATATTGTTAACTAGGTCAGTTGAGCGGCGACCTCCCCCACGGCCACAGCTACACCGGCGCGTTCCAGTTCCTGCTGGATCATTTTATGTGTGGTGATTAGAGCAGACGTGTGTGCTGATTTTCGGCCCAACGCATCAGCTACCACATTGGCCTTTCTCAGGTAATAGAGTATTTCTAGGTCATAGTCTTTAACCAACTCCAACCACCTGCGTTGTCTCATGTTTAACTCCTTCTGAGTAAAGAAGTATTTAAGACTCTTGTGGTCAGTGAAAGTTTGGGTCCTTTCTCCATAAAAGTAGTGTCTCCAAATCTTCAATGCAAATACCACTGCTGCGAGTTCTAGGCCGTGGGTGGGATAGTTTCGCTCGTATTCTTTTAGTTAACGTGAAGCATAGGCGATAACCTTCCCATGTTGCATGAGTACACATCCTAAACCCCTTTTTGAAGCATCACTGTACACTACAACGCCTCCATCTCCTGACAGTACAGTGAGTATCGGGGCTGTTACTAACCTTTGTTTAAGTTCTTTGAAACTAACCTCGCACTAATCATTCCAGGTGAACGACTTTCCTTTCTTGGTCAACTCAGTGAGGGGGGGTGGCGATCTTGGAGAAATCCTTCACAAACTGTCGATAATACCCTGCTAGTCCAAGGAAACTTCGTACCTCAGTCACTGTGGTCGGGCGAGGCCAATTCGTCACAGCTTCAATCTTTGTTGGGTCTACGGTGATTCCCATGCGTGAAACTACATGCCCAAGAAATCTCACCTGTTCTACCCAGAATTCACACTTGGAGAACCTTGCAAACAACTTGTTCGTTCTTAGATTGGTCAGCACTTTCTGGAGATGTTCCTCGTGTCGTTCCCTAGTCTTGGAATACACAAGGATATCATCAATGAAGACGATCACGAAGTTGTTTAAGAACTCTCTGAACACTATGTTTATCAACCCCATAAATGCTGCTGGAGCGTTGGTCAAGCCAAACGACATTACCCCTAAACTCGTAATGTTCATACCTTGTGCGAAAGGCTGTCTTTGAGATATCACTCTCCTTAATCCTTAACTGATGGTAGCCTGACCGTAAGTCAATCTTTGATAACACGACTGGTCCTTGCAACTGATTGAATAGGTCGTCGATCCGGGGTAAAGGATACTTGTTTTTAATTGTCACTTTGTTAAGTTCCCGATAGTCCATGCATAAGCGCATAGAGCCGTCCTTCTTCTTCACAAATATCACTGGGGCTCCCCAAGGAGACACACTTGGTTGTATAAAGCCTTTGCTTAGTAGCTCTTGAAGCCGCAACTTTATTTCTTTAAGTTCAGCAGGGGTCATTCTGTACGGGGCTCTTGATATAGGGGTTGTTCGTGGCTCAAGTACAATTTCGAATTCCATCTCACGCTCTGGAGGTAGGCTCGGAAGATCTTCTGGGAACACGTCCACGAATTCTCTCACTACTAACACTAAGTTAATGCTCGCCCATGTTCGCCCTAATTCCACCACATGAGCTAATATCCCTCAAGCACCCTGAGATAACATCTTCCTTGCTTTTAATGTCGAGACTATCCTTGAGACCGTTCCCTCCCGCCCTTGAACTTGAAGCTTGGCTGACCAGGAGGTCTGAACACAACCTCCTTGTTGAAGCAATCGATGGATGCATGGTTTTGAGCTAACCACTCCATCCTTAAGATGACGTCAAAATTGGCCATATCAAGGACTATCAGCGTCACATCCATCGTGTGGTTTGACACACACAACTGACAATCCTTTACCCTCTCGAAGGCTTCCATACTTACCCCTACTGGGGTACCCACAGACAACCCGTACCCTAGCAGTTCAACTTCTACTCTTGTGTATTTTACAAGATTAGTGGAGATAAAAGAGTGGGTTGACCTTGAATCAAACAAGACCCGTGCGTAGTACCCAAGAATAGAGAGCGTACTTGTGACTGCAGTGTTGGAGTTTTCTGCCTTCTCACGAGTGGTAGCAGACATTCGCCCCTGTTGCAGAGCTGGCCTCAGGTTTGAGGTCGGTTGGTTACCAGAGGGTCTATTGGTACTAGTTGCTCTCCCTTGGGTGCAATGCGCGACAACGTGACCTTCTTGGTGACAGTTGAAACATACCCTATTCTTAAACTTGCACTGTCCTAAGTGACGTCTCCCACAGTTCGGGCAACGTGGTTTGTCACGTGGCGTGTTCTGAGGGCAAGCCTTTGGTTGCCTGCGCTCTTGGTTTAAATTTGTCTTGCCATGGTGCCAAGGTACCTTTGAGGAGGTAGGTGACGTCTGCTCTCTCTTTCTCTTCTGGTCAACCGACGTATTTAAGTGGGTTTGGGTGTCTTCTTTTGGATATTCCCTATCATCGAGCGTCTCGGCAAGTCGGAGTGCTGTTGCATAGTCAGGTGGAAGGTGAGCTGACACCGCCCCTCGGACATCGGGCCGCAAACCCATAACAAAACATTCTACTTTCAGCTCTTCTGTTGAGACCATTATTGGGGCGAAACAGGACAGACGGGTGAACTCTCGTTCATACTTCTCTACTGACCTTTTTCCCTGTTCTATGATTAGGAATTCGCGTTGCTTCTTATATCGCACCACTGGTTTGAAGTATTTTCGGAGAAACGCTGTTCTAAACTACGTCCAAGTGATGTCATCCTCGTTTGCAGCAATCGCCCGGGAGGCTGATTGCCACCACAGTTTAGCATCTTCGCGTAACAGAAAGGTCACCCAACTCAGTCTATGTTCCTCCAGACACTTCATGCGTCGAAAAATTTCATCAATAGCCGACAACCATAATTCAGCTATGACAGGGTCCTTGGATTTTCCCTCGAATACTTCAGGGTCCCAATGTTTGAAAGCCCAAAAATACTTGCTTTCTTCTGATGCGTCAGCGTCTCCCAAGTTGTGATGGGTCGTCTGCCTGGCACTTTGCGCTAAGGTCGGGATCAGTTGTGCCAATTGCCCATTTGTCTGTGCCATGGATTGCATCACCCCCATCATCACAGTCATATTAGGTACTTCCGAAGTATCAAGGTTTGCTCTCGGTAGACCAGATGGGGGAATTCCTCTCCCCTGATTTGGGTTTGCATTCACTGACTGTTCTTGAAGTGGGGCCTCTAAAGATGGGTTCTCTTGTACCCTTGCCGGCCCACTTCGAGCACGTTTACCTCCCCAATTTGTTACTTGGTCAGCCATCCTTTCGCTTGTTTCGTTCCTAGCCTACAATTAATTACCTCATCAAATTTATCTCTCTTTTTTTTTTTCAACCGAGTATTATACAACGTGTATTATACACTACTTTATGACTGACAAGTACATAAAACCACACATGATAGTCAATCAAAATATCAATACTCCACAATACATATTCGTACATTAAGCAACATGCATTATCCACTAATTTTGATTGACAAACGTACATAAAATCATCCAAGATAACCAATGCAATTTCAGTATTTGACAATACATATTCCTCCATTTTATGGCCAAGCGTACCTGGAAGTGACGAGGGTTTGCCGTTCAATCATGGGCGACTCTTTGGCTTACGATGTAACCAGTCTATAGAATCCCATAACTGGGCTCTGATACCAACGGTAACGACCCAACTTATCATATAAGTAGCGGTCAGGGTCGTTACGAAAAATAATGAGATTTATTTGGAAAATGATGAAAATCATGCAAAAATTTATTAGAAATCAGGTGCGGAGTACCCCTTTAAAATTTAAAAAACAATGCCACCTAAAGCCATTTAAAACAAAGAGGAAATTTAAAATCAAAAGGGAGTCTAATGCAACCGCCTAGTTCCCACAAACTAGGCATCGACAACATAGTTTAAATTAATAACAAAAGTGCGGAAACATCTCTCCAACAAAATGAGACTACAAAAAAAAACATAAAAATCCTTGAATTGCCCCGTGACTGACTTTGGCATCCTACTCGTCACCTCTGTGCCACAGCTTCTCTTGAAAAATCATTTAAAAAAAAAACAGGGTGAGTATAAAAATACTCAGTAAGGAACTCCCCTATTGGGGGTCAACATATGAATCGTCATAAGACAATCAACCAAAATACGCAGCAGGTGATTATTGTCACCACAACCTCAACGCCACTTTTACTTCTTAAAGTGGTTATTCCTAGTTGGTTACCCGAAACACACAGCGTGTAACTATTACCACAAGGCCCTCACCTCCTTATTTCCTCCAATTGACTATCAACGGCTGGTTACCTGAAACACACAGCGTGTAACCATTACTGGATAGTCTTTTCTAGAATCACCCCAAAGGTGACTATTGGTGGCTAGTTACCCGAAACACACAGTGTGTAACTATTACCACAAACCCCTTACTCATGGCTACCTACAATCACATTATGCTGACAATAGACACCTATCATCAGACTACACAACCTAACAATCCGATTACACGACAATCAGATTACACAACAATCCGATTACACAACCATCCGATTACCCAACAATCCGATTACACCACAATTCGATTACCCAACAATCTGATTACACCTATCCAGATTACACAACCTAACCATATTACACCACAAACAGATAACCCAACCATCAGGTTACACAACAATCAGATTATACGACAATCAGAATATACGACAATCAGATTACATGGCAATTAGGATACATGTCAACCAGGTTACATAAAATTACACACAACGAACAGATTATTCTCGGCAAACAGATTACACAGCACCTAGCCATTGGACGATTCTATTCGACCTATTTCTCCTGTTGCACGCGAAAAGTAAGGTGGCAGAGGCTTCTTCCTGCTGATCGATGACAAAAGTCGCTTCATGTGGCTGATCCTGCTGCAAGCGAAAAGTAAGGAAGCATAGGCGATTAAGCATATTCAGGCGCGAACGGAGGCCAAATGCAGGAAGAAGATGCGAATACTACGCACGACCAGGTGGAGAGTTTCACCTCAGCGAGCTTTGTAAGTACTACGACGAGCTTTGCATGCAGCGGCAACTAACGGTGCCCTACTCCCAAGCAGAACAGGGTGGTGGAACGTCGAAATCAAGACCATCATCGGGACAGCGAGGTCTTTGTTAATGACAATCGGGATGCCTGGGAGATTCTGGGGAGAGGCGGTAATGACAGCCGTCTATCTCCTCAATCGATCGCCAATGCGAAGCCTCGACGGGAATACGTCACATGAAGCCTGGTACAACAAGAGTGCGTCCCCACCTCGCCAAACTCGATCCCAGGGGGAAGTTCGTCTTCATTGGCTACGAACCTGAGAGCAAGGCGTACAGACTCTATGATCCTGCGGGGGGGAGCTCACGTGTCTCACGACGTCATCTTCGATGAAAGTACCTTGTGGCAATGGAACGACGTGATCGAGGTAGACCATAACTCAAATCAATTCACGGTGGAGTACCTCGTCACTCAACCGGAAGAAGAAGGAGCACAGCATCAGGAACCGTCACCACAGCCAGCAGTTGCACCCCCTGAACCAGTGGAGTTTGCAACACCACGGACTGCAGATTCGACACTGGATGTCGATCACGATGATGATTTAGTGGCCAGGTTCTGGAGGATGGACGACCTAGTGGGAGGAGGTGAACCACCTGGACTGGCGGCACGCGAACTCGAACAAGAGGTGGCCGAACTACATGCCATCAGTGCAGATGAACCAAACACCTTTGCCGAAGTAGAAAGGAACCCATGTTGGTTGAAGGCAATCTAGGAGGAGATGACATCCATCACTGAGAACCAGACGTGGAGTCTGGAGGATATGCCACTGGGACACAGAGCCATAGCGTAACGAAAACGGAGAAGTTGTGAAACACAAGGCCTGTCTGGTGGCGAAGGGCTTTGTCCAGAAGCAAGGAGTGGATTTCAAGGAGGTATTCGCGCCGATGGTAAGGCTGGAATCTGTCCACCTATTACTGGTAATCGCGGCACATCATTCCTGGGAAGTCCACCACATATACGTGAAATCCGCATTCCTGAATGGAGAGCTAAAGGAGACCGTCTATGTTCAACAACCACTGAGTTTCCTGGACAACGACAACCCTGACAAGGTATTGCGTCTGCACAAGGCACTCTATGGGCTTCGGCAAGCACCACGAGCCTGGAACGCGAAGCTCGATAGTACCCTATTGTCGCTGAAGTTCAAGCACTGTGCCTCTGAGCATGGCATGTACATGCACGGCCACAACTAATCGTGGGAGTGTACGTTCATGACCTCATAATCACGGGAGGCGACATGAAAGTCCTCGAAAGATTCAAGAGGGAGATGTCAAAGAACTTTAAGATGAGCAACCTTGGCGTGCTCAGCTACTACCTCGGCATTGAAGTACAATAGAGTACCAGCATCACCATCTGCCAAAGTGCGTACGCGAAAAAGCTGCTGGACACAACTGGACTTGCGGACAGTAACCCTACAAGGATAGTGACATGGCCGGTGATAGTGATAGTGTGCAGGGAGAGGAAAGGAGAAGCTTAAGTTGGTCGGCTATAGTGATAGTGACATGGCCGGTGACGTTGATGATCGTAAGAGCACCAACGAGATAATTTACTTCCTCTCAGGTGGCGCGATCTGCTGGCAATCAACAAAACAAAAGGTAGTTGCTTTGTCTTCCTGCGAAGCAGAATACATCGCCGCTTCGACAGCGGCTACACAGGGGGTCTGGCTTGCGCGACTAATGGAAGAACTTATCGGAAGAGAAAGCGATCCACCAATGCTATACATGGACAACAAAGCTATGATCTCCCTGATCAAAAATCTAGTTTTGCACGACCGGAGCAAGCACATAGAAATCAGATCCCACTACATCCGAGAATGTGCAGATCGAGGGCTCATTAAAATTAATTTCATCCAAACAGAGGAACAGCTTGGAGAAATTTTCACCAAGTCCCTGGCGCGGGTAAGATTTGAAGAACTACGCTCAAAGATCAGAGTTCAAATAATAAGGTAGATATACCACAACTTTTAGGAGGAGATTATTAGATAAAAGCTATGGTTTTATTCACACATTTCCTTAAAATTCGTTAGTTATTTTTTACTTTTGAATATCTGAATTAATGCTCCCCGTTTAATGGAAGAGCATATTTTTTGCTTGTCATTTTGGCCAACTTTGGGAGTTTTTGCCCACTAATGCTAAATTTAAGATAGGTTTGTTATTTAAATATGTGAACTTGAATCAAATAACGACCATCAGGTCTTCAGCAAATATTTCTCTCTTTTTCTTTTTCGTTATTTTTTTTTCCTCTTCAAAGAAGTTTTCCTTCGGTCGGTTTTTACTCCGTCGACGTTTTTCTCTCAACTGCCAGAAGTCAACATAGGACATCATTATGTTGGAGAGAAGTAGGAGAACGGGCACTGGTGAGTCCGAAGTTGGTCCAAGTCACGAACGAGGCGATGCAACAAATCAGGGGGAGGATGTGCACCGCTCAGAGTAGACTGAAGAGTTACGCGGAGTCGAGATGAAGAGACCTGGAGTTTGAAGTGGGCGACATGGTA